GACTGTTTTCCAGTCTTACCACAGTCTGGATAATTTATAATGAACAGAAATATATTTTTTTATAGTTCTGGAGGCTGGGAAGTCCAAGATCAAGATGCTGTTGTCTGGTGAGGGCCTTCTAGCTGCATTATCATATGGTGGAAGAACATCTTTCTGCACAGGGTCGAAGGTGGAAGGACAAAAGAGAGCAAGAAGGGGCTGAATTTGCCCTTTTATGACAGCATTAATCCCACTTTCATGGCTTAATCTCCTCTTAAAGGTCCCACCTCTTAATACTGTTACAATGGCAATTATACTTCAACGTATGTTTTGGAGGTCACCTTATTCAAACCACAGCACCCAGGTATTTGGACTTACTGCATCAGGTGGCTCCACCATCTCAGAGCCCTTTGTTTCCATATCATAGGCCGGGGAGATACCACGGAAGATGGCATGGGCCGTTTGATAGCCAGGTCTGGAAGCAAGTGTGTACACTATTTCCATTCACATTTCACTGGCCATACCTCAGTGTCATGGCCCCAGCCTGTCTGCTGTTTGCAAGGGAGGCTAGGGATTGAGTCTTCTAGATCAAGTAGGAGAAGATGGTTTGGGTGGCATAAAGACTTGCCTCTGCACAATGAACTAAGCATTTATAACCAATAAATGCTCACAACACACAAGCAGGTGGTATCAAACCCATTCTTCCAAGGCTGATCTGTAGAAGGGGTCAGTGGCCAGAGCAGGGACACGGGGTCCCAGGTGAGAGCACCCAGGACCAGGCTCCATGCAGAGGTCCCTGGGCCATAATGTGAAGCCAACACATGCAGTAGATGGCTGTGGTTTGTCTTGACAGCATCCCAACCCTCCTTTACTAGCAAGAACCCCCAATTTTTGTTTGAGGAGCTAGCCTCCGACCATTTGTCCAGCTGAGGCTTCCCACTCAGGTTTAGCACGTGACCCAAGTCTGAGCCAATGGGTGTGGTGCATTCCTCCAGGCACTGTGCCTGCTCGGCCAGAGCATATCTCAGGGTTGCTGCTAAGGATGAGGGGATAGAGACTTGCCTTTTCTCAGCTGGGCATCAGCCTGATGCTGCTAGTGGCCTGCCTGGCTATTAAATTTTTTTTTTTTTTTTTTTTTTTTTTTTGTAGAAACAGGTCTCACTATCTTGCCCTAGCTGGTGTTGAACTCTTGGCCTCAAGTGATCCTCCCGCCTTGGCCTCACAAAGTGCTGGGATTACAGGTGTGAGCCACTGCACCCACTCATCCTCAAACTTCCTAATCACACAAACCAATAAATTTCCATTGTCTGTCACTTGCAACCAGGACAGTGTTAAGCAACATAATACATGTTCCCCTCAATCCCAGACATACCTGTGAACTGGGAAGGGGCTGAATCTGCAGAGGAGATGATCTATGGACCCACCCCTGGTGGGTGTGAGAATACCAGGGTTGGAGGCAGGATGCTGACACCCAGGGCAACTAGAAAAGGACCCTAGTAACCCTCATATCAGGACACAGTCACCCCAGGCATGCCACCCCTGACTTAGAAGTTCAAATAAATAAGTATTTATTTTGTTATGTTCCAGCATATGAATCACTAACCTAACTTTCCTTGACCACAACCCTCAGAAGTAGTTGCCTCTGTGAGCACCATTTTACTGGTAAGGAGGCTCAGAGAGGCTAAGTGATTGACCCAAGGTCATGCAGCTTGTTAAATTGTAGAACTAGGACTTAAAACCAAGTTTCTCTGATTCCACAGCACATGTTTTGTTTGTTATATTTTTCTTTCTCTTTTCTTTTCTTTTTTTCTTTGAGATGGAGTTTCACTCTGTCGCTCAGGCTGGAGTGCAGTGGTGCCATTTCGGCTCACTGCAACCTCCGCCTCCCAGGTTGAAATTATTCTCCTCCCTCAGCCTCCTGAGTAGCTGAGATTACAGGCACCTGCCACCACGCCCGGCTAATTTTTGTATTTTTAGCAGAGATGGGGTTTCACCATGTTGGCCAGGATGGTCTCAAACTCCTGACCTCAGGTGATCCACCCGCCTCGGCCTCCCAAAGTGCAGGGATTACAGGCATGAGCCACTGCACCCAGCCTTATATTTTTCTATATAATAAATTCTAACATCCTCCTAAACTTGTTTTAAAAGATAAAGCCTTTTGTTTTCATCCAAGGCTGGAATATATCAGCCATCCAGGGCACCCAGAGATAGGCTTGGGGAAGCCAGACCACATCTCCCCTTCTCTCCTCCCTCCTGTTCCCCCTCCCTCAGGTCTGTGTTTGGGTAACACACGCCTTCTGTAGAGAGTACATATTTAAGCATTCCCAGGGCACACAACATCTGCTGCGTTGATACCAGCATTCCCTCCTGCAGGTGCGTGGTTCAGCGTGGGCGAGACAGAGTGTGGTGAAGACATGCTATAAATGTCAGTACGATATTCACACCCGACTGTCTAAGAATTAACAAGCCTTTGCAGAACGGCTTCTGTCGGCACCTCACTGTGTGGGGAGGACACACCCCCTTCAGGCATGGTGCATTTGCGTGGTTGGCACAGAGAACACATGAGGTTGTGTTTAGGAGTTGTGTGTGCATGCATGATTTTGGATGTGAACACACTATCTGCACACACTTCACAACCAGAGCTGAGCAACCAAGCCTCCCAGAGCCAAGGGAGTGAATCAGCCATTGGCTGCCAAGGAACAGAGAGGGATGATGATGATGATTTTTCTTCAGGTGGAATGCTTCTTCCTGCCACTGGAAGAAAAAAAAAAGTCCTCCTGGTAATTTAGAGGAAACAAACAAACAAAAATACCCCAAATCAAACCCCAACTCTTATAAGCTCTAGGGAGAATCATTAGTGTGAGAAGTATTTTATCATTATAAAAATGGATTTCTCTTTGTGTAAACAAATCAACAGAGAATGCTGTTTATTTCTCACAATCAATTCTGGACAAATGTTATAGATGGACAGTTTGTGTCCCCCCAAAATTCATATGTTGGAATCCTAAATTCCAACGTGATGGTATCAGCAGGTAGGTCCCTTATGAAGGAGGCCCCAGAGAGCTCCCTCACCCTTTCTACCACTTGACGACAGCTAGAAGGCGCCATCTGTGAACCAGAAAGTGGGCCCTCACCAAACACCAATTCTGCTGGCATCTGGACCTTGGACTTCCCAACCTTCGGAACTATGAGAACTATGTTTCTGTTACGTATGAGCCACTCAACCTAAGGTATGCTGTTATCACAGCCCAAGTGAACAAAACCAAGAAGCAAAAGTGTGAGTTTTTGTAATGGCTTCTGCTTCTTCTACCCCTGGTCTTTCGGAAGGACCAATTTTTCACTCTCTCTGACTGTCCTCACCTGAGATAGGTTCTCAGACATTAATCTATTGCATTGTCATGGAATGAGACAAGACAGTGAGTATCTTGCTGGGGAATAGGAATAGGGACAAGGCTCCTGATGGCAGGTCTAGAGGTCCAGTGGAGACTTGAAGTTTCTGTCTGTTCAGTATCCATTCTCCCTTCTGGCAGTAGCACCCCAATTTATTGTGGGAAGCCACAACTTTGGGAAGCCTAGATACATAAACCATGTATCAGATTACACGGCTTAGGAAGAGCTGATGCCACATCTAGCTCTAAGGTTGAAGATTTGACCCAGCCTAGCCAATCAGCAAATTCCATGGCCATAGCCACTATCATTAATTTAAGATGGGTACATGACCCAAGTTTGTCCAGTTAGAGATAATCCTGGGACCTTAGCTGGAGCTATTGAGGAAGAGAATGCTTCTTTCCACTGATATTGCTAACTGCAAAGAGTTGAGACTGGGGCTTCCAGAAGTCTTCTTGCCACCAGGAGGAGAGAGCTCATCACAGAATAAAGTTGACTTAAATGAAAGTAGAGCTCAGATTGGGAGCAAGAGAAAACTTCTAGATGACATTCATTGGGTACCTAGATCCAGGCATGCCCAAAGCTACTATTGCCCTGGGATTTATTAGGTGGGTGAGGCAGTAAATCCCCTTTTGTGTTCAAACCAGTGTGAATTGGGTTTCTAACACTTTCAACCAAAAGAATCCTAAGAAAAGGCATTGATTTTACTAGAAGGTCAAAACTCCCAGGAAGTTGAAGGCAAGGCTTGGTTTGAGAGCAGACGAGGGAGCCACTTATGGCCGAGGAGAGGCAAAGCTTGAATCTGACAGATGCTAAAAACTGAAGCCCAAGACTAAGAGCTTCCCTTCATGTTGGGTGGTGATCAAAACTAGATGCTCTGTGAAAAGATGCGCAACATCATTAACCATCAGAGAAGTGCAAATCAAAATCACAATGATATATCACTTCACACCCACTAGGATGGCTAGAATGGAAAAAACCCTCAAAAACAGAGGATAAATATTGGCAATAATGTGAAGAAACTGGAACTCTCATACATTGCTGGTGGGAATGTAAAATGGTGTAGCCACTTTGGAAAACAGTGTGGCAGTTCTTCACAGCGTACCTGTTAAACACAGAATAACTATATGAGCCAGCAATTCCACTCCAACCTAGATAGTCTAGAGAGCTGTGTCTTAGTTCATTTTGTGCTGCTATAACAATACCACAGACTGTGTAATTTATAATGAATAGAAATTTATTTGGCCCACAGTTCTGAAGGCTGGGAAGTCCAAGACCAAGCGCCTGTATCTGGTGAGAGCCTGCGTGTTGTATCATAACATAGTAGAAGGCAACACGTGGGCAAGAGAAAGCAAGACAGGGCAAGATGGGCTGAACTCACATTTATAACAAATGTACTCCTGCAAAAACTAACCCACTCCCACAGTAACGATATTAATCCATTCATGAGGGCGGGGCCCTCAGAACCTAACACCTCCCATTAGGTTCTGTCTCCCAACACTGTTGCATTGGAAATTAAGTTCCCAAGACATGACCCTTTGGGGACAAATTTAAACCACAGCAAACTGAAAACATATTTGCACGAAAACTTGTACAGTGGATGAATATTCATAGCGGCATTATTCACAATAGCCAGAAACAACCTAAGTGTCCATCAATGAGTGAATGGATAAAGAAAGTGTGGTAAATTCATACAATGCAGTATTATTCATTGTTAAAAATGAAGTTCTTAGCCGGGTGCGGTGGCTCAAGCCTGTAATCCCAGCACTTTGGGAGGCTGAGGCGGGTGGATCACGAGGTCAAAAGATCGAGACCATCCTGGTCAACACGGTGAAACCCCCATCTCTACTAAAAATACAAAAAATTAGCTGGGCATGGTGGCGCATGCCTGTAATCCCAGCTACTCAGGAGGC